ATAGAAAAATAAGTGATACGAGAAAGAAAAAGAATAAAATAGAAAGAAAAAGAAAGAAGTAGAATGTTATTGAACTAAACACGTAATCCAAATATTATTATAACCAATCTTTTATCGTTACTGCGTCTTCTATTCACGTGTTTTCATATGGAATAACTGACGATATTGAATCAGTGACAATATTATAAAAGCAATATAACTTAGCTAATGATTTAAAAATAAGTCTTATCACTTCAACTAAAATCTTATCACTTCAATAAATCTCTTGTTAGATAACTTATTGAAGTTATATTTGATATTGGTTTTGGTCTTGAAAGATATATAAGATCCACAATTCATGATTCCGATCCCGATGCCGGCCATCCGATCTAAATAGATTTTCGGTTCGGTTAGGGTTAGGTTTAAAGTTACAGCAAAATTTCGCGTTAATTTTTGCGTTGCACATTGATCCTGCGATTTGATTGGTGCACAATTTTAGAGGGTATATCGGATGACTGGCATCGGGATCGGAATCGGAATCGGAATCATGTGACAGTCACTTTTTTTCATTATCTTTAAATAGTGACGCGCGTCTTGAAATTATTCATAATGAATCACGAAACAGAGCGCTCACCAAAACCTGTAACCAGAATAAAACCTTACTCTCTTGGTCTTTCTTTTGTGGGCGAAGCCGTAGCGAATGCATTTGAATATTTCAAAGAGAACCCAATAAAGACGAATGAGCAACAACCATTTCAAAATTTCTCTTTTTCTTCTTTTGCACCATTTAATAATACTATTCCTATTAATAATAAACATCAGTATAACAGTCAATATATACAACCTGGAGATGTAATTGAATTCTATGGGCCAGCATGTGGAGGTAAATCATCAATTCTATATTCGTTAATGCCCAAAACTATTTTACCACGAATTTGGGTTCGTGACGGCGGCACTTTATATGACGAAGAGAAGCAATTCTACATTGGTGGAGCTGATAACGGAGTTATATTGATTGACCTTGATGGCAGATTCGATACGCAAAGAGTGTACGCGTTAATTGTTGCTTATTTACGAAAAAAGATTAAAGAATTTATATGTGAAGATACAGAAGAGAGAAGGAGAATAAATAATAACTATAACGATGCCTCAAGGACTAGCATGGAATCGTCAATACCAATTGACATGAATCATTATGATTGGTTACCAACAGAAGAAGAAATTTCTCAAGTTGCATGTTTGGCATTGCAACGAGTTCATGTATATCAGCCGAATTCTTCGTTGGAATTTTTGGCGACATTACAATCCTTACCCGAGTATATGTTGGAAAGTGACGATGAATTCAAATATTTGATGATTGATTCTATAATGGCTTTTTACTGGCAAGATAAATCGGAAGAAACAGGCGGGAACGGAGGAAGTTTTAATTACTCTACAAGTATTGTCCGAGCATTGCGTCAAATCATTAAAGAGTCAAATGTTGTGACAATAGCCACAAATTGGGCACTAACTCTACCAGAAAGTAATAATGGGATCAATGAAACAATATCAAATAACTCGATAATCACGACGACATCCTTACCATTTCCACCCGAATTATTTTATCGAGACATTTCACCCCGAGTCTGGCAAGAATTCGTAAAATATCGATTTGTTGTGGCCAAACAACCGTTACCACAATATTCTGTGTCAACGCATCCCACAAAAGTGGTTTGCGATGAAGCAAGAATGGAAATATTGCGAAACACTTGGTTTAGTGGGAGAATAGTCACCCCAATTTGTGGAAACCTTAATTTAAATATTTTTACATTTAAAATTACAGAGGAGGATGGAATTCTATCAGAGTAATGTAATTTATATATATAATTAAAAAATGTATTATAACTAATATTATTTTCGTTAAATTATTGAAAAATTTTGAGGTTATTTTTTAGCTTGATTTAGGATCTCTTTCACGACGTTTTCTTTAATACGCTTAGAAGCAAGGTCAATCATTGGAATAACTTAAGATAAAAATCAATAAATTATTATTTAAGTGTCTTGTAAAATTATGTGAATATAAATTAATTAATTCGTTAGTTAACTACCATGTTTCTTTACCACCGATTCGTGTATCGTGTCAGCTAACTTTTGAAAGGTGGGACTCGCCACAAGCTGAAAATGTTTATTATTAGCCTTAATATAACAAAAAGAACTGAAATTATGAATAATTACTTTTTCGGCAATGTATTGACTTGCCAAGCTACTTAAAAGCCTTGGAAGCATTCTCGCGTAGAAATTGAATATATGCGTACGTGTTTTTTGTTAAAACAATTCGACAAATAAGTAAGGATTTGCTCTTGCACGAGTACAAATTACATGGTAAGTCAACTGAAACTATAGCGATAGTAAACCCAATAATTCCGTGTAACGGGTTTTGATTGTCATTTATTTATATATCGAATTTTCGTTACAATATATAGAATATGCTTTGAAGTGTTATATTTTATTATAGCTTTTAAGTAAACAACAATGAATATCTTACGATAGTTAAAAATACTTTAAATAAACGATAATTACAAAAAAAACTTAATGTTGATTCCATTGAATGGATTTTATATCGATTCCTTCTTGCACCTAGATAAAAAATTTCATTAATTCTTATAATCCACCAAACAAAAATTTCTATTTATATGATTTCTTCGCATACCATTTCCCAAAGCGGTGACATCTCTCTTAATCTATCCACATGCTGAACCACTCGATTCACCACCAGGTCAATTTCTTCCTCGGTGGTAAATCGTCCAATACCGAATCGGATACTAGAGTGTGCCATATCTTCTTCAGCACCTAGAGCTTTTAATACATAAGAAGGCTCAAGAGAGGCGGACGTGCAAGCGGAGCCAGAAGAAAGTGCTACATCTTTTAAGGCCATTAAAAGTGATTCTCCTTCTACATAGGCAAATGAAAGATTGACACATCCCGGATATGTCAGATTAACAGCTCCATTTCTCACCACATGTTGAACTTTTGAGTTTATTCCCTCAATCAATCTCTTCGATAATTTCTTAATGCGTTCTGAATCATACTAGAAAGAAAACGTGAAACAGTTAAATATACAATGACTTTATTTATTTTACGAATGGATGTATGGCTCTACCTTCATCTCTTCCTTTGCAATTCGACATGCTTCACCAAATCCAACCACCAAAGGGGTTGGGACTGTTCCACTCCTTAAGCCCCTTTCTTGTCCACCGCCACTTTGCAATGCCTCTAATCTAACTCGAGGTTTTCTTCGCACATATAAAGCACCAATTCCTTTTGGTCCATAAAGTTTATGACCCGATATACTCATCAAATCCACATTCATTTTATTAACATCAATTGGAATCTTTCCAACAGCTTGAGCTGCGTCAGTATGAAAGAATACTTTCTTGTCGCGACAAATTCGTCCTATTTCTTCAATTGGTTGAATAACACCAATTTCGTTATTCACCGTCATGATTGACACGATAGATGTTTCGGGGCGTATGGATTCTTCCAGTTGATTGAGACTAATAATTCCGGATTGGTGAACAGGTAAATATGACACATCGAAATTTTCATCTGCTAATACACGACACGAATCAAGAACACATTTGTGTTCCTAACGTTAAAGAAAACCCCATGGTTTGTTATTAAATTCTCATTTCTCAACAAGGCTATCACCAAATAATATACGGAACACGTACTATTTGCGTCGTGATAACATGGTGCTTGTTACTCTTGTAAAATCGAGCGACGCCTTTTATACTCATATTATTTGATTCTGTAGCGCCTGAAGTGAATATGATTTCCTTCGGATCCGCTCCGATAAGCTCTGCAATATGCTAAGAAATAAATAAAAAATAAAATAATGACCTATCATAAGAACAGCATACATACAGTTGACCAATAAAGATAAAACATACAGCGCGAGCTTGTTCAACGGCTTTTTCCGCCTCCCATCCATAGGCGTGAGTTCTTGAATGTGGATTACCATATTGTTGCGTTAAATAAGGCATCATCGCATCCAAAACACGCGGATCTGTTGGTGTCGTCGCTTGCATATCGAGATAAATTGGTCGATGTGCGCGTTTTATTGCGGTTTCTTCGAATCCTAATAATTCTATTCACCGATGGTGAAAAATTAATATTAATTTCCAGTTTCGTGATTAATTATCAACATTTTTAAAGCAAAGTGAAACCTTAATGTACCAGGCGTGGGCGTAACGAGCGTTTGGGAGGTAGTTTCGACCGGAGAGGCACGTAGTGTTGGCACTGTGGCAGAAGAAAAGCATCTGATCTTATTTAACCTTGAGGCAAGCTCACGTAACTTTATTCTCGAGTTAGAATTCTTAAAACAATGTGCCAGGCGACGCTGGAAAAGTTCGGTTGCGGAACTGGCAAGTGACATGGCTTAGTATTTTGAACTAATACTTGAGGAAAAAGAAAGAAATAAAGGTCGAGAACAAAGAATTTGAGTAGGTTGACAAACTGCTAAGTGAAATTTTGTCGATAATCGAATGATCTGCTTTGGTTTTGAAGGTGTAACAGTATAAATATCTTGTTTATTTAAAGAACGTTTTGTCACATAGAAAAATTTTATGTGATATCATGATGCTATTAGCCGATTAACTTCTAATTTATGCTATTCAATTAATCGATATAAAAATAAATTCCGCCCCCAATTATTATTAAACTAAGCTTACATCTAATTAATTACTTTTTTTTTTTAAAGTTAGGGAAAAAAGAAATACGCGCTACGATTCGTTTCTATTTTTAATCGCATTTTTACCTTTTGAATTATGAGACGAATCGCCATTGGTTTGTTGTTGGATAGAAGACGACGGCGTGGACGATGACGATACTAATTTGTTTTTGGAAGATTCGGATTTTGACAAACATCCAGGACAATTGTGTAAAACGTCGTGAATAAAAACATCGCAATCGATGCAAAAATGATTATTGCATTCTAGACATTTGTACCGTCCACTTGATATTTCTGGTAATTGTTGATTACTGCGTGTAGATGGTATAGACAGAAATGTGAGTAGACATGAGAAACATTCTGTGCTGGACGCACTAATAAAAAGAATGAATGGTTACTTATGATACATCCCAAATAATGACATTTCTGTTATATATTTACCTGCTCCATGGAACTTCTACAAAATTTCCTACTGGAAATAAGTGATGATAAGATCTCGCCAAATGAGGACTCGAGACTAATGTTAAGCCACATAAATCACATTCAGATGGTAATTCGCAAATTGTTGACTGACATCTAGGACATAGATATCCGCCAAGTGTTGATTTACCGTGGCTGTATATCGTATTAACATAGGGAGAAATCAATAAAATATCCTGAAATTGATACGAACAAAATAAAGCTTCTATATCTCAACATACCACATACACTGTGTAGGTGTTTTTCGAGTTACATGTGTCGGAAATCCCATCATAATCAATTCAGATTTATATTGAGCCGAAGTGATCGCAGGTGGTGGAATGATCTCAAATAACAACTCTTTAAAGTGTACTTCGTTGAGGACTACGCCATATGTGCCTGTATAGATATTTTATGATTATTATTGATGATGCGAGGATCACAGTAGTAGTAGTAGTAACCTTTAAAAGTTGAATATGACATGTCAAACGCGAATGAATAAAAATATTATCGTATAAGAGATTAATTTCTAAAAAAGCGTGGGCACCTTTTGTTTTTTTGCAAATATATTTACATATTTGTACTTCCGCTGCTAGTCCAACAACCGAGACTCGAATCGAGTCTTTGACAAGTTGATCAATGGTGTTATATATATTATCGGGATCACAGGTCGACAGTGAACCAAATATTACTAAAATCTCGCGGGATCCATGTGCTGGAACATAACTTATATAGCCAACAGACTTTTAATATGGAAGTGATAGTTGAAAAATAATCGGAAAAAAAATAAAATGCATACATTAAAGTTGATCTTGCCAAATCTAAGGCATTCTGCAGCGAAGGTTCACCCTCTGTCTCAGTATTTTTCTTATTTTGAAGTGCTCTTATGTGATCCATTGGATTACCTTTTTAACAAGTTTTATTTATTATCACAAAATTAAATTTAAAAAAGAAATAATAGGTTGTGGAGACTTACCAGATAACTCTGTTAATTTTTGCGCTATACCATCTTTCGTTACTATGATCCCTACTTGACTTATAGGATTTTGATCAAAGTACTCCTGAATGAATTGCTCAGTGTAAGATAATGTCAACTCTAGTCTCGAAGGCCTTAAATCTTTTTCCAACATAACTTCTGATAGATCAATCACTATAAACATGTGTCTTAATATTCCTCGTTGAATAGTAGAAGTATCGCGTAAATGTCTTCAGATTTATATCGAAATTAATAGCATTAATAAATATTGCTTAGTGAGAATGACTTCAATCAACAGTATAATGAACCTTTTTCGCTTGCCACGATTTATTTGCTTTTCTACTATACTTTTTAAACTCCCGTCAGCATCTTCTTGTAACTCATCCCAGCTACGCTTGTAGTCCTCCCAGGCATATCCGACTTGTTGGTCATTTACATGTGCTTCGTCGTCAATATCTACTGGAGGATTTAGATTGGCCATTTTTTCAATCTAGCGATTTCAACTTTCAACAAAATAAAAATGATTCCCTTTTTCATGTTAATAATTTTGGTCAACAATGTGTGCATTTAGTAGATTCCCACGTGCTAGGTAGATATTATCTTTTTGTTTTATCACGACCCGTTTAACAGAAATAACTTGGGAGTTTCGCTTCAAAAGAATACTTGATTTTATCAACAACCAACATATCGATGACAACTGTGAAAAGGAGGACTACAATTAATTCAGTTGTGAGTAACCAAGATACAGTGCATTTATATCTTAAAATTCCAGACAGTGACAATGCGAGATATTTATCTTTTATAATTAATTGTCATTTTTGAATATAGAAATACGAAACTTTATAAATAAAACACGCGATTTAACTTAAATTGTGTTAGTATTATTTTCATTATTTTGCTGCTAAAAGATGAGGTGGCTGAGTTGAGTTGCAATTGGAGCTGGTACGAAAGATATGATACTTCCAGCGACAATGAGGAAGTTTCCAATGAAGCCGAAAAAACATTCAGTGAGAGCGAAGAATCTGTTGTGAAGCCGCCACGAAAACGAACCGGGGTGGTGATTATGAGGACAACTCACCAGCAATAGTGATGATATCGATAATGGAAAAGATGAATAAATGATATGGTAGGCGTTGCTCTCCAACAAAGGTAAAAAATCATATGATCTGCCTTAAATTTCGCCTTACGCTTCGTTTTAAAGCAAACATTGACTTGATTTTTCTATACTCAAGAAAATCCAAACAATTTAGTAGTTATAATTAGGGGCGATTTCTACTTCGCCTTTTTAACACGAATAATTTTACTGTTGATTGGTATGTATTAATTCATCGGGTTGTCTATTTTGCCTGCTTAAAAAAATGCGCATGTTCGTTTGATAATTCGAGGAGTATGTTGTCATAGGTATTGCAAACAAGAAATATAGATGAAACAATGTAGAAGTTCAGCTGACACTTACATCGTATACCAAGGCAAATTGATATCCTTAAAGTGGTTTTGCAGACCCTTTAGTCACTGATCAAATACTTTCACCATTAGAACATGCTTTCCACAATTACTTATGAGTGAATAAGCCGCTATTATCGAGGCGACAAAAGTTGATATATTTAGCAAAAAATACTTTTACGCGTTTATCCCATTTATATCCGACCGTGAATTTGGCAAATAAGAATTACACAGTATATACCGAATACTTGGGAGCTAGAATAAAGAATTAAACGAGAGTTTAAGTGATATATAGATTTTTTTGAGGCAGCAGATCTATAAAGTTTTCCATCAATCTTCAAGAAACATTAATGATGATGTTCGCATATAGCAAGTGGATCATACTAGTTCCTTGAGACAATGTAAAAGATCCACTGGATTTTTAGAAATGATAGGAAATTTAACAAAAGTTATGACTTTTTTCGTTATGCTTAAAACTTAAATATATCAATAAACGTATTATTTTTTGAGATTGATTAAACACCATTATCTTTGATCATGCACAGATCCATTAAATATTTTAGCTTGAATGGTATGATAACCTTAAGAGTCTTTAATTGAATTGAATTAAATTTAGTCCCATCGATAGTTAAGATAATAGTTCAAGCTGCTTTCTCTTGGCACCACAAAGCAATGTTGCACGGACGTTGTCCGGCATCAATACTAATAGACGCGGAAATCAAAGTCTCAGGCATAAAATAAAGTGCAAAAGCAGTTTATCATGATAGCCTTTGCCCTTGATTAATATATACTTCCTGAACTTCTTTAGACAACGAGCAAAAAAGATTTCTAATGATTTGATGATTCCTATATATTAATGTCGGTAAATTTCAGTTATTTGAAATTAATCTTTTATCAAAGGAGATAAGAGCATAATGGATTCAATCTCGCAACATTCTACATAATTGAGGTTATTGTGAACTTTGATTCTCTTTTTTTTTTAATTTATCCAGTAATGCACGTCGTGGAATTATTTACGATCTTGTATATAACTGGCAGAAAGCGAACTGGATCGCCAAATACATTTTTGCATAAATCAAAAACTTTTTTAGCTTAAAAGAATTAGAGATATATTTCATAGCGAGATTATCTTTCTCACAAAAAACTATAGAACTAAAAATCGAGCCAAGAATTATATTAAATAATTCGTACAATGATATTTACAAAAGTAATAAATTAATTAAGTATTAAAAAACAAAGCCATCTATTACATCTTGAATAATAATCATGAAATATATATATATATATATATATCGGCAAGATTTTATTGACTAGAATTTTTTGTATGTTGCTTATGTGTATGTGTTATTGGCCATATATAAAAAATAATGTATGCGAGAAATACGCGCCATGCTAGCATTAAAGCACTATTTTCCGCCTACTGTAGAAGTATATATATATATAATAAATATGTATATTGACAGAATGATAATAATTTAAGTAAAATCTATAATAAAAATAATTAAATAAGGGAACTTATGTAATATGTATATTTTTTAATAAGAAGTGACTTTTTACATACAAATACAAAAAACCAGTAAATAATAAAATTGATAAAATTAGCAATTCAGATAATAAAAAGATGGAAAAAATCGAAAAAATAGTGGATGATTTTGTATTACGATAAATAATGAACAAGCCAAGGAGGATTCATCTTGGAGTTGATTTTTTTTAAAATGATGCTACTTCTCTTTTTCGATCGCCACAATGATGGTGGTTAATTAATGTACAATAGCCCTCAAAGAAAGACATCACCTCCTTTTTTTACATACCCAAAGAAGAAATGCCAGTGAATTGATGTATGGGATTTCTGAAGCCTATCGAAGAAATTATTGATGTCGCTTCTTTTCCTTTCATTGCCACAATTTGATGGTGATGTTGTAGCTTATTGACAGCGTTTCTTTATGTGTCTTTTCTAATTGCTCAATTATGAACTCGAAGTATGTATATAAGAACAGGATGAATGTTCTTTTGCTGCGTAATAATATATCAGCAAAGATTAGAAACACATAAACTTGCTTCGTTTCGCTATCAATTCTTCCATTCGACTTTCAAGAGCCATTTTAGCTCGTTCTGCTTTTTCTTTTGCTTTTCGTTCTTCTTCGACCCAATTTTCCAATGCCTTCTTTTCTTCTTCCACCGTTGACTTTGTATGTTCTACAGCATGTCTTGCATCATCAAGTTGTTTTCGTAATGTCTTGATTTGCTCGACATAATCTTGTTTTTCGCTTTGCAGTACACCCAGTTGCTGTGTTGCAACTCGAACATTTGTCTCTGAGTCACTAAGTTTTGATTTTAGATCTTCAACGAGTTGTCGACTTTGAATGTTTTCACCTTCCATTTTTGCGATCTTCTTGTGAAGTTTTTGAATTTCTTGTGCAAGATCATCACGTGTCGTGTTTGTATCTGACACGTTTGTTTTTGACATTGCAGATTCAGAGCGTGGTGGTAATGGGGAACGTGGTGGAGGTGGAATTGGAGTACTATAGCCAGATATCGAGGGAGTACCTGGACCCTGAGGAATAGGTGGTAATGCGATGGGAGGTGGAGGCAAAGGATGACTGGGTGGTGGTGTTGGTGGTGGTGCTTTTACAAGGTTTCCTGCAATAGTCGGTCGATACGAACCCTTCCTCATTATATCGGAGGAATTTGAAGATGTTGATAATGTTGACATTCTGAAGCTGTCGACTGCATCGGGATCTGCAGATACTCCCACATTGTTGTTTTGTGGAGCCCCACGAGATGAATTAGTATCACTGTCATTGGATCTCTGCTCTAATTCAGAAATTTTCTCTTGAAGAGATTTAATGAGTGAATTTTGTTGTGAGAGTTTATTTTCTCGTTCTGTCAACTTTGATTGTAAATTATCAATTTCTGTGCCACTTCCAGGTGACTTTAACTCGTTTTCTTTTTCTTGAGCAATTCTTTCCTCATTTTCCAATAATAACCGTTCGATTTCTTGTTCCATTTCATCTGATTCTTCCTTCGACCTTTGAATCAAAGAAGCGAGTTCTTTTTCAAGAGAAACTATTTTATGATTTTGTTCAGCTATTGTAGCTGCTGCCTTGTTTCCACCAGCGCCAACTGTTTCCAATTGCTGCATTAAAGATTCGATTCTTTGGTCAAGTCTGCCACGTTCTTCAAAGAATGAATTGTTGGCCTGTTCTAATCCTTCTTTTTCGGCTTCGAGTTCTTTAATTTTTTCGTGTAATTCATTTATCTCTTTGGTATCTGTTAGTTCTTTTTCCAATTTCTTTGTCTTTTCAGTCAATGTCGCAATATGTTTCTCTGCTTCTGTTATCTTGGCAGTCAACTGGTCATTTGTATCTCTCAGTTTTTCATTAGCAGTCTTCAGTTTTGAAAGTGTAGGATTTAGTGAACTGGAATCCTGTATATTGGAATTGTCGTCTTCACCATGTGTGTTTTCTTTCGGAATCGAATTTTTTGCTCCCTCCAGGGCAGCTTTTAAATCAGCAATCTGAAGTTTTTGTTGTCTGGAAATTTCTTCAGCTTCCTCATATTTTAATTCAGCTTTTGAAAATTCATCGGCAAAAGATACAAGTTCGTTTTGAAATTGTTCTTCTTGTTGTTTAAGCTGTTTAATTTCATTGTTTTTATCTGCTAGTTGTTTCAAAGCTTGTTCCAGCTCAAGAATACGACCTTGATCCATTGTATCATCTTTATTTGAACCGTTTTTCAATTCTTCAAGTTCACGTGCGAGTTCATCTGCTCGTTGAGCGTTTTCATCACTTTGCCGTAATGTATCGGTTAATAATTGTGATAATTCTTCAGTTTCTTCAGAACGATTTTCTCTGGATGCTAGAGCAGCCTTTAGTTCCTCTTTAACTTGATCCAGTTCAGATTGAAGACGAATATTTAATTTCTTTTGAACCAATATTTGATTTTTTATATCAAGCTGATCTAAATTACCACCGTTTATTTCTGATTCTAATTGATCCTCCAATTCATTAATCTCAAGGGCTATTGCTTCTTCTTTTTTGAGAACTTCTGTTAATTTAGCTTTGAGACTTTCAACCTCGGTTTCTTTTGTCTTTAATCGTTGCTGCAAAAGACTTTTATCTGCCAGATCTCGTTTAAGCATATCAATTAATTCGTATTTACGTTTAATATCTGATTTTAATGTGTCAAGTTGCTCTTGAAGAGTATTGACTAGATCTTGTTCATCTTTTAGCATCGGAATTGTCTCTACTTTTGCTGCCAGTTCCTTTTGTAAAACTTTAAGTTTATCGTATAAAGCGTCTAAATTTTTGTTCATCGGATCACTGACATGTATATTGGAACTTCGGGGTGTAGGAACATGTTGAGCTTCTTTCGCCTTTGTAATTTGTGTATCAAGATCTTTGATTTTTTCTTCAAAGGTTTTGATTGTTTCGTCATTTTGAGCATCACTAGTTTCTCTCTTTTCCACTATAGATCGACGAAGTGCTTCTTGAGTTTGTTGTAACTCATCTTCTAATCTTCGAATTGTATTCTGATGCTCGACAGAAGGAAGCAATAAAGTTGCAATAATTTGACTCTTTGCTTCGATTAAACCTTGAAGTTTTTCCATTTGTTGTTGAAGAGCTGCGGACTCATCATTTGAATCTGATGTTGTTTCTTCGTCTTTGACTTCTTCAATTTGAATTGGAACACCTTCAAGTCGTGCAGCAGCCTCAGCGACGTTTTCTTGGCGTTTAATTTCATGAGCTTCTTCAAGTTTTTCTTCAAGCTCTTTTACCTTGGCTTCAAGCTCAATGACATGTTCCTTAGTATCCGTTTTGAGGTTATCCAAATTTTCACTTGAATCCACATTATAATCCACAATTTCATCTTTGGCTTCTCTAGCAACTTGTAATTCGGCTTTTAGGTGCTCGATTTCCGTCTCCAATTTCAAGACTTGGTCGTTTTTAGCAATCCTTGGATGTTCGGAAAGAACTTCCATAGTACGGCGCTGCTCATCCTTGAGTTGCTCGACTTCATCTCGAAGACGCTGGACAATATCAAGTTGGTCGACTTCGCTGGTTGTAGCAGAAAATCCGCTATACCCACAAAAGTTTCCTTCAGTATATTCTGAAGCCGCATGAACCGACATAACCTCGATTTGCGCAAGTTCGTCACGTTTCTTGATTTCATCACGAAGTTCCTCAACAATTTCAAGATTTTCACGGTGATTCATCTCAAGTCGAGCAAGTTCTTGCTTAACATCTTCAAGACCTTTTGTCTTTTCATCATGTAGCATCTCCATTTGTTTCAATTCAATTTCTAAATTTTGAACAATAACAGCACTTACAAGCTCTGCTTTATCACTACCATTAATCTCGTTAGATAGGGATCTGGCTCTACGATGCAGTTTCAAGGAATCGGTAAGAGAGTCGGATCCGGACTCATTAGGAAATAAGCCAGGGGTATTTGGTTCCGAATCAGTTACATGGATACTTAAAAGTTTAGTTTCGTTTAAAAGCTGATGAAGTTCTTCATTGTCACGAAGACTTTCGTTATATTTTTCTTTGAGCTCCGTTAAAGCAGACAATACTTCATTGTGCTTTTTCTGAAGTTCAGATAGCTTTGATTCGAGCTCTGCGATGGCGAAACGGTCAGACATAGCACCCACCGGCGTAGGAGTGTTTGAGCTTGGTGGGGTTGAGAAGGGAGTATCTTCAAAAGATGGAGAAGAACTAGTCGAGATGGAACCCTCATGAACCGTTTCATGATCATGATCCGTAAACTTCCTCAGTTTATCGATCTCATAAACAAGATCTTCAACCTTTTTCTCAAGCATTGTAATTCGCCGATCTCGATCACTGATCTCATTGATGAGTTTTATTCGATCCGTATCATCTTCTGTTTGTTTCAATTTATTCTGTAATACTTTATACGCTGATTCTCGCTCTTGCAGCCTTTTTTCAAGTTCCTCAGCCGATTTAGAAAGTTCGGCAATTTGTTCATCGCTTTTAACAAGGCGCATTTCAAGATCTTGAATATAATTTTCATTTTTTGCACCACTTGTCTTGAGTTGAGTTATTTTGCCTCGCAATTCCGTAATCAACTCTAGATCCTTTTGTTGGTCCGTAGAATGTTCTTGTAGCTTTTGTTCAAGATCTTTGATATATCGTTCTGTTGTCGACTCTCTTTCGGTTATCTTTACTATTTTCATTGAAAGGTCTTTGATCCAGTTCTCATTTCGACGATTTAATTCCTCTGCGTATTTGAGTTTATTCTCTTGTTCTAGCATCTTGGTCTCGTTATACTTCACAGCAGCACGAGAAAATGCTAATTCGCCTTCCAACTTCGTGATAGAAATTTCGTATTCCTTGATCACAGGCTCTACAGCTTCTTGGAAACTGTCGGTAGCTCTTAACATGAAATTTTTCTCCTCCTCTTCTACGATAGATGATAAGGCTTGTTGAGGGTTATTAACGCCATCGAAATTGTCTTGATGTTTTGCAAGTTCGGCATTAGACTTAGCATATTTTTGCGAGAGCTCAAAGTAAGATTGTTGTAACTGCTTGAGCTGTTCTTCTAGCAGTCCAACATCCTTGTCTTTGGCATTGGCAAAAGGAACAGGACCATCATTAGATAGCTGTCGCGTGTGAGTGGGTGATTCAAATCCATTTATAGGAGTACTTCGGCCTGAATAGGTTATTGATTCGGCTCTAGAGGCAGATCTTGAGCCAACACCATTTTCTTTTAATCCCCTAATCTCGTTTCGAAGCTTTATTACTAGGCTTTGCAAATGCTCCAGATCTTGCCAGCCAGATTCCTCTTCGTTAACTCTTGCTTGATTTTTTATGTTACGTGCACGATTGGCGTACTTTATCGTGTTCACCGTTTCGTTTAAATTGTATTCAGCCGGCGATACACATGCGATCATTAGAGTCTGTGCATTTCCACCCAGAGAGTCTTGCAATAAACGTGTCAGTTTTGAGTCCCGATATGGAATGTGTTTTTGATGTTTGGCTTTATATGGATCACCTAAAGCCGAAATAACGTTTCCTAAGGCAAGTAAGCCGGAATTTATAGAAATTCCTTCTTTCGCGCGTTCACCTATCGCAGAAGTTCTTTTTAGCTATTTATTATACAAAGATAATAAAAAACATAACGGTTAATATGCTGATCCAACGCATCAAATCGGTTAACAAATGCAGATGACTAAACAAATAGTATAAATATATACCCGTTCACTACCAGCCAAGTCAACAAAGTGGAATTTACTCGAAACAGAGACCCAATCTCCCTCGTCAAGTCTTTTACTCATTCGAGAACCCGATCTTGATGCTGATCGTGGTACAGTTGACGAAGGAATAGTAGCTGATAAGGGTGTTGGAGGATTATGTATTGGACTTGCAGAACCTCCGTTTGCTGGAACAAATTTCTGCTGAGTTAATGTTACTGAAAATATTGCATGCGATCGAGATGATACAACATTCATTTCTGTAGCACCGACTTGTCGATTTAGCGATCCTCGAGCTAAATGCCTAAAAAAAGAGGAACATTATAATTAGCAAGAAATTCCACATTTCTTAAAAATAAATCATAATGATAAAAGGAAGGATTCTTACCCCATCACTTCTTCCACAGAATTAACTCGGAATTCTTGCAGACCACTCCATAAAATATTTCCCTTATTATCCTCTCTTATTGTAATTTGCGGTCTCTGTTCCCCATCTCGTTCACCCAGCAGATCTATCAGATCTTCATTGTAAATCTCTATAAATGAGACTTTTATTGCAAACTTGCGCGTTCTATATTGCGTCGAGTTTATCGAGGAGAAAAGATTCGCCATAGCTCTTGGGATAATGCCTTTAGTTTCGGGTAACTGACTGGCATTATCGGCAGTACCCATTGTGTGTGTCTTACCCGAAGATGTTTGACCATACGCGAGGATTGTTGCATTGTATCCTGTAATCAAAGATTAAGAAAACAAAACCGTCAACATAATTAACATCACTAATCAACGATTCTTCGAATAAACCTATTTTATCGTTTTAGTTTAATGCCATTTTCGAATCACTACGATCAGTAATCTAATAGTCAAAAGTTACTTCGTAATACATGGTATTCTGACGTACGCAATCCAGCGTTATTATGTATATTCAGCTTCTTGCTCAATTCGTTATGATTCTACTCTTAAGGATTTATTCCACTAAAGGACAATGTGGAATTTAAAGATTTGAACGAGTAATATAACGAACAAACCGACAAATATCATTAGGTAACTTCTTCAATACTTTTCTGCTCATTCTCTGTATAAAACCGTCCACAAACACGTGCTGTAAACTATAAATGTTTGACGCGTAAATTCCGAACAAGGTAATCTTGTTCAAAGCCTCTAGTTTTTCATAACAGCCAGTAAGTGCAGTAATTCGGGCCAAGTGTTCTTCTCGACGCGTGCTCAAAGTAATAGAATTAAAATTCTACACGAGTGTTCTTCCAAGAAACAATGAGAAGCTTTTTTTCTAATCGTTATTAAAGATTCTCTTCTTCTCTCAACTAATTGAGTCATATTGATTCCGTAATTCGAAAACGGCAATATAACCTTTCTATAAGCTTTTTGACTAGCCAACTGACCCTTTCAACTAACCTTCTATGAATTTATCCACTAAACCTACAACCGCTTTTTCAAAAACATCTTTTTGCGTGGCTTCTTGGCCGAATACGTTGTCAAATGAAAACGTTAGTTTCTTATCAGCATGTATAATAACTTGGTTTGGTACAAACGGCGAGGTCGCTATAACCTGGCGTTGAAATCGTGTCGGAAGATTTTTTAAATCCTCATTTGTTAGTGGTCGTATTCGAAGTGCTAAACGAAAAAAAATAGATGATAGGTTAACACTGAAAGGAAATTTCGTGCTTCTTTCTTGCTTGTTCCATTTTGATACTTACCAACAGATACCGATGTCTTTTCAGGTGACCCCGTTCCTGCAGAGGCCATTTTCTTTAAAATATATCAAGTTTGGGGACAAAAGATAAAAATAAACGTACGATACTTTTTAACAATAGTTTATCAGAAAAAAACTTATAAACGAGCGAAAAGTTTTTTTTGTAATTTAAAGTATGAAAAAGAATTATTATAAAAGGAAGTTGAAGAAACAGTTAAAAAGACTTGACGCTCTCCACAGGTTGATAGATTATTGTCACACAGCTTAATTATATTAATTACTCCGATTAAATATTTGGTCGGTTCGAAAAGAGCACCAATACAATACGAAGTTTTCCAATTGTCATACTTTTTGTCTTACCGGTACTCAAGTCTCTAATTAAATCACAGAACATTTATTATGAGTCATTGATGTAAAAGTTTCTCTTAATAAAACTTTATTTATATACTTACGATTCATTTTTAATTTTTTATTTTTATCATCCTTGTTCTGAATGGAACCGGTGAAAACGTGAGCCGAATTTGAATAACGAAGTAAGAATTCGTGTGATTAACTGACAAATTCTATTTTTATTGTTCTAAAACGATATCGATATTGGTATGGATTACACGATCTACTAACGCTAAGCAGATTCGAAAAGTTTTCACGATATTATATTACCTTTACCATTTGTTGTCGATTTAGCGATAGATCAAATGCCTCCATTGAAAGGCATCCATTACTCATAGAGACATAAACTCTAACTTTTTACTTCAAATTACCCAAGCGTACATACAATGATCAAGAAAAGTTTTTAGACTCTCGTAAAATTGGCTCATACCGATACCAGACGAGCTGATCTTGATACTCAGGGGTATAATTTACCTTGGTATTTCACGTTCATAGTTAGCGGATACTGATTGATTTGGAAGAACCGAAATATAATTACGTATTTACGTCAAATGTCAAATGATTGCAAAGACCTCTTGGATCAGATGAAAAATCATAAATCCCGCATGAAAACAAAGATGGCTTTTTACAATAAACTTTAATTGAACTAAAACGATCCAAAAGCTTCGAGCGTGCAAGTATAAAATAAGATTCATGCATATAGTAATTGCACAAATGAGTATATTATATGTATTATATATAATACAGATACGATACCCGACTATACATCTTTCTGTAACACTGATTTTTATTGATATATTGAAAATGTATCTTTGTAATACATAACAAACAGTTAATAAATAATTTAAATTAAACGATAAACAGTTAATAAATAACTAAATTAAACGATATGTCCGTGAATCTCTGGGTAAGCTGCACCAATTCTTCTAACGCCACCTTGATATAATGGATGTACTTTAATATTTACACGGATATCCTGAACCACAAAGTGACTATCTTGATGTTCCAACAAGAATAATAACGTGTACAATGCAAATTCGAATTCGGGCGATGTACCGATAAACGAAGTGGAGAAAGGTTTTGGAACTCCATCGTACGAGAAACGAATTGGAATCACATGTTCAGTAGTATCAGGCTAATTGAATAAATAAGTAAATGAATGAATGAATGAATATATGCGAATATGAATGAATAATATAATATAATAATCGAACAGAATATTTACTTTGGCATGAGGATCACTACGAGGAACAACGTAACCTTCGTAACGTAACATTCCTTTCTTTTCGTTATAGTAGAAATTAATCCAGTTGTGAAATGCTATTTGTTTTGTATCGTAGAAGTGAATACGTATTAACTTAATAAAACAACAGAAGCTGTATGAAATATAAAATACCTATAGCTTGCTCGTTTCTTACTTCTCCAAGAAAAACGTGTTCAAATCCACTAGAATCACCTTTCACTTCTCGTCGGTACATATGAAACCATAGATTGTTGAGAAGACCACGAAATTCATTTTGGTTATTTTTTATTTTTCTTTTTGCTACCAAATACTATATTCAATTATTAATAAATTAATCAGCTCAATCAATTTAAGATTATTTGCTAATATTATACGACTTACTTGAAACACGTATTGCATTGGCGCGGTTTTCAACGATTCACGAATAAACACATCGTTTTCATATATTTCGACTGAATCCACCACTTCGGGAATTCCCGTTCGAGCGATATAGTTATCGAGAATTGCATAGAATGCTTTGAATGTGGGCTTTTCGAATACTTTATTATCTACTCGTTCGAACAAGCGCAAGTCTTTTTTGTTTGTGTATTGAAATTAGAAAATTTATAATTTATATGTATCGGTATGATAGTTATATACAACGATAACGATAACGATAATTACCATGATGATGATTATGGCTCGCAATTGGTAAATTAATTTTATACTATTTTATTTATTTATTTATTTAATTTATAATTAGATTTAGTGATATAAAGTAGCATAACTTAATTTTTATATATATATATATATATTACTAACATCACGACCAGGTTCCAATCGATTATGATCCAACTCCCATAATTTCGTTAACGCAACTTCGATATTGCCTAGTTCACGTTCTGTTGGTTTAGTCGGATGTTGAGTGAAGGTTATTGTAGCCATATTATTATTATTTCGTTTTTTTTGTGTTTTACTAATTGTTTCGTATGTCTTTTTATATTACATTGTTTCCTCACACATAAAATGGGTACATTTCTTCTTTCGAACAATAATAGGTATACATGAGAGCTTGTTTGACACACGGAAAATTTATTGCGCGTTATTTGATTTATTTGTTCAAAAACTTGTTTATTTTAAATATCAATGTTACGCGATTCTTCCTGTTACCTTTCTTCGCTAATTGTGCATAAATTGTGAATGAAATGAATACATATTTAGTATGTTATTATATAGATGGTTACAAAAAGAAATGTTTATTTGCACTGAAACTAGAACTTTGAGAATCAAATCAAAGAGAAAAACAACATCGAGCCGACATGGGGATCTTGACATATCGATATGGGACTTTTGAATAGAAACTTTCGGTTTAGCTTAACATTATAATTATAATTATAATTATAATTATAATTATAGTCAAAATACAATTTCCTTTTTTGGCTATATTCTATAACGTATAGTCATGTGATTAATTGGTTGTAATGAGTCATTAAATATGTGCATTCTGCATTCTGCTTTCTAAGATTCTATTTTTTCGTTCGCAAAAATGTCATCGTTCATAATACTGCTTGAAAGAAGGGTTTTGAGATCACCAAAATTACGACTAAAATTATCGAAATCTCGCGTATCATCACCTTCATTATCGTCATTAATTAGTTTTCGTATAAACCCAGCGTTGAATATTGGTCGGTCGAGAATATGTGTTTTGAGAAAAAGGTTTTTATTTTAGAATTAGATATTTTTGTAAATAACTAATCATCTACAATAAGATTATGAATTCAACAAAAAATGAAGGAAGAAGCCAAGTCAGTCTCGATTACAACCACTGCCTGGAAAAAAAATTTCAGGTATTTATTTTCTAAATCATCGACTAGATAAATTGCCTTTTGTGACGTACTTGGATTCTATTATCGTTATTTTGTTTTGGTCAGAGTAATTTTAATTTAGCTCAACTAATTTAAACCGCTCAATAGAAGAAAACGTAGAAACAAAAGCATTAACGATAGCAGAAAACGTAGAAACAAAAGCATTAACGATAGAACAAGAGAAACAACAACAACAGCAGCAAGAAACAGAACAAGAAATCTCCGTGAATCAAGAAAATGTCATAACCACCACCAATAACGATACAAAAACAGAAGATAAAATGCCGAAAGCAAAATCATCGTACTACGCTGTAAGAGTTGGTCGTGAACCGGGGATTTATACTACCTGGTGAATAATCTTTGCATTCGTTAAATTCGTTTATACAGTTCCTTCGTATTTTGATTATAAAATTAATTATTTTTAATAAAGGGAAGAATGTGGACAGCAAATATCAAAATTCCCTAAAGCAAGATATAAAAAATTTGGTAGTCTACAAGAAGCACGTACCTTCATGCAAGAGGGGAGGAATGATGGCGAAGTGACATCATCTTATAGAATTCCACCAGATGTGCCTGTAGTAAAGGATTCTCCTAAACAGGAAAAGGGTATTTTTACTTTTTTTTCAAATAGTCAAATTTTGAATTTATATTATATATTTATATTATATTATTAGATGAGATTACTCTTAGTAACAAGGTTAATAATAGTAACACGCAAATTTCAACAACACGAGAGGTAAAATAGAATTAAGACAAATCAAATGAGTGTACTTGTTTTATTTCTCGGAATCATTCTAATTTTCTTTCAAAATAGAAGGATCAAGAACCTGATAAACTAAAAGTATGGACAGATGGATCTGCACTTGGAAATGGTAGATTCGGAGCACGGGCCGGTGTTGGTGTGTTTTGGGGTGCGAATGATTCGAGGTTTGTCTTTCGTAGACATTTCATATTTTACTATTTATTGTCTGGGATTTTTATTTTATCTGCTTTATCGGTGTATGCAGGAATATAAGTGAGCGATTGCCAGGTCCTAAACAAACAAATCAACGAGCTGAGATCACAGTAAATTGTCATAATTTTTATTTTGTTTTCTATTTTTGATTTTTTTATGATTTTTAAACATATTTATATCTGTATAACGTGAAGGCTGCCATAAGAGCGCTAGAAACATGTACCGACAATCATCTGACTCTTGAAATAAAAACCGATAGTCAGTACTTGGTCAAAGGTAATCATCAAAAATAATTTAACAGTCGTTTGCAGCATTATAATATTTGTTGCTTGACATTTGACGTTGTTAGCACACAAAAGTTGGATAGAAAATTGGGTAAAAAACGGTTGGAAAACGGCCACAAAACAGGATGTCGGGAATAAAGACTTATTTCAACGGTTGTTAGAGTTAATTAAGAATCGAGAGGGAAAAGTGGAAATTGTGAGTAATTATTCTTATTTTTCATATCTACTATTTTTTTTTACTCTCCTTATTAATTAACTTTCTTTGTATAGACATATGTACCAGGACATGCAGGTGTAGAAGGAAACGAAGCAGCCGATCGATTAGCAAATGCTGGAGCATTGCTTGATGATGTCGTTATTAATGATAATTATAATAGTAACATTATTCCAAAAGAGATTATCAATGAAGAGGATGATGAGATTGCTCGTACCGAAGAACAATTTAATCGGTCTCTCGATTCATCTATTGCATCAATTCCTTCTCCTTCCCATATCATTTCTACTACCATCAAAACACCATCGTCCATTTCTTTTGATCAAGTTGACAATACTTATCCAATTTCAGAAGAATATATAGATTTGTTGGTGAAAAATAACTGCATTTCTGACGAACAACTCGATTTATTAAAGAATAGTAAATGATTTAAATATAAACAATTAATGATATCTTATTTATTGTTTATAATTCAGAATACACTTTCCTGAATTCATAATTGCTACATTTCTCAAGAAAAAAAGGATTAGCAAGTCTACAAGGCACGAAAACCTCTCAAAGATAATATAATGCTAACTAAATATCTGACGAGATATTTGCCTAATTGACTTGATTTAATTACGACGAACTTGAGAACGGTGTTGTTCGCGAGACCGTTCTTGTGCTATAAGAAAGTAATAAATATAAACATGCGGAAAAGAGATATGAAAATATAGATATCAACACAAAAACTTACGATTATACTGTAACAATTTTTCAATCAAGTCAGAATGTGTCAAGATCATGCGGCGACAACAGTACCGTTTCAAACCTACCATGTTCATTGCTTCACTAAATGTAAGAAGTAAATTAAGTCAAAAAAAATGTATAATGAATGTAAAAAGCAAATGAATAGTTTGAAATCAACCTTTCACAAAGTTATTCACTATTACATTCTGCCATCTAAATCACTTACTTGTCAGTATAATCATTAGCCAACAAGTCTTGATATTCTTGCCATTTATTGCCAATTACTTTTCCACACGAGAAACAACGAACTGGAATGATCATTTTGATAGTGAAGAAGGAAAATCACGAGACCTCATTTTTAAGCACGTCCTGAATTTGTGCCAGGTTTTGTCGATCATAGACTAGTAGCCAATAAGAATGCGCAGAAAAATACAAGAAATGCAAAAAATACGAGAAACAGGTGTTTAAACCTAGCTTGGAGTACTGATTAAAAACGTCTGGGAGACAATTTTATATATAATCTGTGTCTCAGCTCTAACCCTAATTCTAAAAGAATTTCCGAGATCAACAAAACCTGGCACAGATTCAGGACGTGCATTGTTTAAGGGGAATGAGCTAATATTTTAGGGGGTAGAACTTGATCTTAAGTAGTACAAAATTAAGCGTTTTGATTGGGTAAAAGATCTTACCTGGTGGTGGGGAGAAGGCACCTCAAAAATAATATAAATAACCACCTACCCCTTTTTTAGCCCCTTTTTTAACCAAATTCGATTTATCGAGGGGTTTAATTAGGTTCGCTCAATTTGCGGCGCAGGTCAATTTTAAACTGATGACTCGACAACTCATTATATCGACCTGGTCCGTTGGTCCGGACGACATGATCACAATGATTCATTGTTCAGCAGTCACGTGCTTTGGCCGGATATGAGGTTTGATTGTGGGGCGTTATCATCATTGATCCAAGTAAAAACAAAACGTAAATCAAAAGTCTGCCAGCTTGTCTTCTGGCAGATTTTCAGTAAACAAGTTTACTTTATAGTAGTCTCAACATTTTGTAAAATTCCAATGACTGACCAACAACCACCAAATAAAAGCATTAATTTTTTTATGAATATTATAAATCACGGTTCTTTGAGCATCGGAGCTAATTTACCGTTATCTTTGTCTTCGTCTTCGCCACCTCCAACAGCAATTACGACGACTTCGACAACAAACTCAACTTCTAGTGTTCCTATAACCAATGCGGTTACAGAAATACCAACCGATGAAGGATACAATGACGGATATGAAGAACCAAAACAAAAAATAGAAATTCCTCCATGGATCGCTCAATTGTCCGAAGAACAGAGGGCTGGTAAGTTTTTAATAAGCAAAGAGGTTTTTTTGGTTTGTCGAATAGAGAGAATGTAAAGTGCGATAGAATGCGGAACAGTTTAAGGAAAATTGTTGTTTGATTTATACTCCTTTAAGAAACAATTCTTATTACCGTCTTCTATCTTTTCGTATTTATTTTTATTAATGATATCTTCTTTCATAATATGGTCACATAAATTATACGTTCGTATTTACAAATCAAACAAAATACACCTCTAGAATTTACGTTTCAACTGCTCTTGACATTACCAACCACGAAACTTGCACAGCTACATGCTCGATTATCGCCGTTACTACACAGAGACTTTTTATCGGTATGCTCTCTATATATGTATTATGGACTAATAATCAATCAGTTTTGCGAATTTTTATTATTTTTAAATTTGTGTTTTTATATTAATTCATCAAAGAAATTAACTTTTTATTTATTAATAACAAATTAATTTCTTGATTTGATGATCAAATAATTCGATCCTACAAACAATAAAAAACTTCAACAACACCAAAAAAAATAGCTCTTACCATTCGAACTAGCCCTCCATATCCTCTCATTCCTCGATTCACAGGCGCTGGGACGTGCAGCTTGTGTCTCGAAACAATGGCGAAAAGTTTGTTCGGATGGATTCGTGTGGCGTAATTTGTATTTTAAGAATGGATGGACTGTTAATCAGAGAATGATTGATTGGTATACCTCTAACAGTAGCAACAATGACATTGACAATAGCAATAATAACCCTAGTAATAAAAATAGAAAGAGTAAGAATAAAGGCAAGGCAAATAACAATATTAGTAGTAGTGATATATACTCTGACTCATCTATAGGAATAAACAATATGAGCAATAATGAAGAACGTGAACACGATAATGATAATACAGAGGAGATGGAAACTACTGATAACGAAGATGACGACTCAGTAAATGATTACGAAGATGAAAATTATCATAATGATTATGATGAAGACGAAGATGAAAATGAAGAGGAAGATTATGAAATGGAGGATATCCAAGAAGAATCTTTAGATATTGCTGCTGCATCTACTAGTACTCAGAACCCACCGCCTTCACCGTCTTCACCGGCTTTTTACTCTATCAGGAATAATAGTGACAGAACAGGTTGGTCTAGTTAAAGTGATATATATATTTATTGTTATAATATTTTAAATATTTTGATTTCTATATAATTGCAGCATCTTCTACAGCGGATCCATCTTCGTCGGCAATTGCACCTAAAAGAAGACGTAGGTCTAATAATCTTGGATATAGAGGAGGTCGTAGACCTGCATCAATACCAAATGCCATGCTTTCAAGCTCATCCCCTCTAAATGGATATTTTTCGGATAATAACGGAGGATCAGGTATATATTATGTTTCCAATTATTATATTTCACCGTTTAATTAATAATAACAAATTACCTTGTCGTTGTTAGCATATATTCCATCTCCATCACCAATGCACCAGAACGAATCAGGTGAATCTTTTATAAACTGGAAACACCTGTACCATCAAAGAACAATAATAGAAAACAACTGGCGACAAGGAAACTACATTACCCGCGAATTACCCGGACACACTGAAGGAATTTATTGTGTACAATTTGACGAAAATAAAATAATAAGTGGCAGCCGTGATGACACAATTAAAATCTGGGACATTAAATCCGGCTATTGTGTACGAACATATAATGGGCATCGTGCGTCGGTTTTGTGTCTGCAGTATGATGATAATATTATTGTGAGTGGCAGTAGTGATGCGACTATTATTATTTGGGATTTGGCCACCGGGGAAAAGCTTCGTACTTTAAGTGGACATTCAGAAAGTGTTCTTAATTTGAGGTTTGATGATAAGTATATTGTGAGTTGCTCAAAAGACCGTACTGTTAGAATATGGCATCGAAATACTGGTGCTTGTATCGGTATATTGTCAGGTCATCGAGCCGCAGTAAATGCAGTACAATTCCAAGATAATTATGTAGTTTCCGCATCCGGTGACCGAACCATAAAACTATGGTCACGAGACACCACTCAGTGTCTTCGCACATTTGAAGGCCATTCACGTGGTATCGCCTGTATACAGTTCGACGGCAATATCATTGTGTCCGGTTCAAGCGATAAAACCATCAAAATATTTGACGTTCACACGGGCGTCTGCCTAAAGACTCTTACTGGTCATACGGATCTTGTGAGAACTTTGCAGTTCGATGGAAATCGTATCGTTAGTGGAAGCTATGACGAGACGTTGCGTGTCTGGGATTTGCGGACTGGTGAGATGGTGAAAAATTTGAGGGATGGACATATTAGTCGGTATGTGTATTTTTATTTTTATTTATATTGTTCAGTTTTGAGATTGTTTAATACTAATTTATATATCAATCTATAGTGTATTCAAACTTCAATTTAATGATTCAAAGATAGTCAGCTGTTCTCAAGATCAAAAAATTATTGTGTGGGATTTCGCGCATAACGTAGATAAAACTTTTCTTGTCTAAATTATTATCATATTACAAATAGTTATAATAATAATAGCTAATTTTTATTATACACATAGATGATTAGTGAGTGTCTGATAATTCAAACAAATAATCTACTCTTAAATAAACTTTAACTATCCATGAATCGTCGATCATTTCTGCTCCCACATATATAGAGAATTCCAGATTTTAATTTACACATATGAGTATCAAATTTGTATATTTATCGTTATTTTTTGAATATAAATAGCTCTTCAAACCATATTATAAGAAATTTGTCAACTTCAAAATCTAATAACTATAACAAATGCATGAAGTTTTAAAGCATACATTCTAAACTGCAAAATTTTCTTCGCATAAAGCTAAATTCATGCTAAATAAGGAAATCATCAAAATTTAATGATAACGATAAACGTTTTTTAATTTTAAAATCAAAAAAATGTATGATCATAGAATGTCTGGTTTAAGGACAAACTAGTCTTCTTTTAAGTATTAACATTAAGAGTTAATTATCCCTTTAATATATCGATATTTAATACACGTATTTAGGTAGTTCATTTGTTTATAAACTGGATAAAGACATTAATTGAAAGCAAAGATTAATACTTCCATAGTTTTTATATAACTTCTTGTATTTGTATTGTTAGGTTAAACTTTTTGGACGAACTTTATACGGAAATTCGTTTCACTTGACATTACACTAAACTTATTCTCAATAATAATTCTAATAATTTATCTTTAAATTAAAGACACCTTTAATTATTTATAACAGCAATAATCTATACCGAATATTAATATCGATTATCATAAATTCGTTTTTGGAAACAACAACCTGTCATATTAACACATTGCCAGAAGAATCTTTAGCAAGACAATTGTAAATACTGAAGAAAAAATTAGAAGTTAATTATCCAGGAAACTAACATTTGCGAAAGGACGAAAATCCATAAATATTGCTAGCAGTATACCCACAATCATCGGGATGAAAAAAAAAACGGTATGCAACCATAAGCTTTATTATTAAAAACACCTCTTTTGCTACAGTTAAAAATTGAACTCCAAAGACAACGCAATTCAGAATCAAGACAAACTGCTTAGTTGCATTATCATTCGTGATGAAAACCACATTTACGACAAATGGTAGCAAGCACAATTGGAAGAAAAAACTAGAAATTTTGATGGCGAATATGTCTTCTAAGCAAACACGCCCCTTGTTTACGCTCTTCATAGATCCCTTCAAAATACGCGACTTTCGTGTTGTCGGCCAAACTGTCATATACCTTCTGCAATTCCGAAGTTAGACCTTTGGTGACCTTGTCTTGCTCAACTGGAACCATGGATCTCTAAAATGATAGTGGTTGTGACTAGATCGGAAAATTGTTACGTGTCATATGATTTTACCTTAGAGTGTTAGTTGTCATTCTAGAGAAAGATTTTCTTGTAGAATTTTCCCATCGTTCGTTCTCTTTGGGGAACGGTTTTTTGCCAAGAAAAATTCACATCTCTCACGAAATCTGATTTTAGCTATCTTGAGATTTCTTCTATTTAAGTTTTCGGAGACCTTATCATATAGATTATTCGATTTCATAACTCTATTTTTCAAGATCACTCGAAGTTGCATCTTCCCCCAACTATACACACCCCTACAATATATTACCGGAAATTTCAAAAATGAATTTGGATTCCATTCGAACAAAGATATCACCATTAGATTCGTCTCGACTATACATACGAATCTAATGGTGATATCTTTGTTTGAATGGAATCCAAAGTGATAACAAATTCATTTTTGAAATTTCCGGTTCATCTTGCATGTGTCGGAGTGTCTTCGTGGGTCGGATAATCCATTTCCTGGCAAGAATTAAAAACAACTGAAATTGCTTGTCGGAAGTAAATTTGCTTTATTAATAAAAATGATACGCAAAAAATATATTACATTCAAAATAGCAAACGCACCAAGTGCGAAATCAATGTCACTTAGTATAAAGTAAAAAAAAAACGATTTTTGGGCATGTGCAATTCGCATTACTTTGCGGATTTATTCACATTTTTAGCTAATATCGATATAGCTAATACAATGTTTGTCGAAAAAGTAATTTCTATTGTTTTTTTTTAAGCTAACATTATAACAGCAAATAATCTATACACAGGATGATCCAAATAATCGATATATATATATCTAAATATAGAAGGTGTGTATGTTTTGATAAATAAAATACAAATAAATTTAAAAATTTAATTTAATTGTTCATAAGAAAATATTCGTTTTATTCATTATCATTTGTTTCCTGTATATGTCTATTGAAAGTAGTAGTTGCTTCCTTTCGATAACCAAACATCTGCTGCAATCGTAATAATTTTTGATGATACTCGTCATCTGGAATAAGAAATAATCATTACATTAAAAGAAAAGTAAATTGTGCATGATATATAACGTAATAATTATTATGTACCTTCTTCTGGAGGATTTTCGTTGCTTTCAAGTTCAACTTTCATTGCTGTTGGTGATATCGGAATTTTTAAGTAATTGAAGAACAAAATCTTTGGAATAGATAATAATCATACTTACGTATTTTCTTATTTTCAACAAGTGTACGCTTTTGCTCCTCTTCTTCCGCAATATTCGCAAGTGCACGCTTTATGTATTGTTGGAAATATACACCAGCTTTTGATAAGTGTGCATTTATTTTAGGTTCCATTTCAGGATGTTCTTGTTGGAATTCGTATAATTCATATATACCCTATTCATAATAATATTATTTCGCTTTATAGTTAAGAAATATATTTATTATTAATTCAGAAATCAAAACTACAATTACCTGCTTTGTTTCTTCTCGTGAACCGATTTTCACGTAAATAGAAGTTAATCTAGAGTTTACATCTATTTCGGATGAATTAGAACTTCCATTAGAGGTTGGGAAGCGCGCTGACATAGGAGTTCGTGGTGATGTCGGACTAACTGGTTCTGAACTGTTAGATTGTGTTTCATTCAGACCAGGTAAGGGCATATCAGGAGTTGGAGTATTACGAACATTGGGTTCTGATGGACGGGTAAATGTGGTAGTTGGAGTTGGAATATTACGAACATTGGGTTCTGCTGAACGGGTAAATGTGGTAGCTGGTGGTTTAATAATACTATTATTAGGTGGCTTAATGGTACTATTATTAGGTGGCTTAATGGTACTATTATTAGGTGGCTTAATGGTACTATTATTAGGTGGCCTGATAATACTATGATTAGGAGCTGGAGCTGGAGGCTAAAATTGAAATAATAAATTAATATTATCACTATTTAACCATGAATTAACTAATAGAATTACATAAATTAGAAATTATATTATACATTATTAACGGTAGTCGGTGGATTTTCTTTCTTTCTTATGGTTTCAAGCATATGATGTAGATAAGGATAAACATAACTTCGTTGAGGATCCTCTATTAAATCAAGATGACCATAAACTTCATCTCCAAGTCCGGTTACTAGCTCTAGTAATAAAGTCTTTACTGTACGAAGGGGCAATTCTCCTAATGGCACACTTTCTGCTGCACGACGCTTCCATTCTGCTGGAGGAGTTGCTAAAAAGAAATTATTGAGATCCCGCAAAAGTTGATTTGGCCTTAAAGTCCCTGCTTTGAGATTCTCTTGCACTGATTTAGCTAACTTCCAAAGACATTTCATGATCAGTTCAGTAAATTTTATTTGATCGGTGGCTTCGGAACTTGATAAATCTCGTAGGTTGACTGTTGCTCTTTCTAGAATCAATATTAATGCACTCGATAACAGAACAGAAAGCATGAAAATTAGACGCAAGTCCATTTGAATTCATCAACAACTGATTTGTTTATATGCTCACCTGTATGTTGCATTTCGATTACTATTCTCTAATACTTTAACCATTGCAACATTCAATGCTTTCGATAGATGTTGATTACAATCCATATTTTGAATGTTGGTGTCGAGTAAACGATTCACCAGTTCTTCAAATAATCTATGAAGTGAATCTTGTGACGCTGTAGATGCCAAATCTTTATTGGAAAAAAGCAATACTAGTGCATTTACTAAATGTTTGCATAAGCGTATTATTGTATTTTTTTGTGGTTCAATTAATGGATATGACAATCGAATCTGAAGAGTCAAAGCATTGACAAGTTTGTCAACATGCCCCAGAACTTTGTCGGGAGATCCGTTGAGTTCTTTATCCACTTCTTTTAAACCTTCGATGCTCTGCTGTGGATCAGGACTTGTGATTTTTTCAATTAAATGTTCAATCGAATTTTCTGGAGGATCAATATCCATTTGTGTTAATTCTCTATTTGATTCGATATTCTGAGAATGAATTGGAACGGGGGCTCCATTCAGGCCGTTCATTCCTTTACGTAATCTCGAGAATTGAAGACGTGACGATGGACCGGGCAAACCCAAACCTCTTCCAATGCCACTTCCAATACCACTTCCAATACCACTTCCAATGCCACTTCCAATGCCACTTCCATTGTTATTTAACAAAGAACCAGGCGGTTCGGAAGACGGCTGCGCGGAAGGAGGTACTAATCTTCCGGTTGGACGACGAAGACCGGGCAATGAAGGTAATGGGAGCGGCTCAGGCTCTTCGTCGTCTTTTTCTGGAGATGAATCACGCTGGGGTATAAAAGCACCAGGGCGAGATTTTTGACCGGGCAAACCCAAACCTAATTTTCCGGTTGGACGACGAAGACCGGGCAATGAAGGTAATGGGAGCGGTTCAGGTTCAGGCTCTTCTTCGTCTTCTTCTTCTGCAGATGAATCACGCTTGGATATAGAAGCGCCAGGACGAGATTTTTGACCAAGTTTTTTATTTTGAGTTCCAGTTCCACCAACAGGTCTCACTGCTTCAATCATTGGCATGATTGATTGTTTCACAGCGCCCTTGAGATCTCCACATTTTGTCACTACAAAGTCATAACCAGCGCCATTGACTATAGGGCCTAAACAAGCTTGTGCGGATTTTCTCACATCTCCGTTACGATCGGCTAGACATGACAATAATGGAACAACCAACGGCTTAAAGTCAGGTGATTTTTTCCCTTTTTCTTCGCCTTTCTCGAGACGTTCAGATAGCCAACTAAGTAGAACTTTTCGCAATAGGGGATTATCTGTTGCTAAACTAGTCGCAAGAGAATTTACCAGGGGTTCAAGTCCCGTGGCATTTGCAAAGCTTTCCAATGTCACGACTGCACTACCACGTACTGTAGCCTTTTGATCTGTGAGTATAGCAGTCACAGGACCAACAAATATTTTCACGTATCGTTCAAATGGTTTGCCCATTGCAGTTGCAATTTTACCGCAAATCTCGAGAGCCATCATTTGCAAACTTTTATTGCTATCTGACAGTCGCACCTTCAGCACCGGTACAAAATCACCTTATGGAGATAATAAAGATGAATCAATTTTCTTCAAGTCTAAAAATGCTAATATGTTTGAACTCACCTAGATTTGGTTTTATCTTTTGATGAGCATCTACGATAGCTTTAATTTGTTCGAGTCCTTCTTTTCGAGTTTTCCATTTATCATCATTACAATCCTAAATACAAATAGAATATTATTATATAATCCTTGCTAGCTGTTTAAATATTGTCGAGATATAGTAAAAATAACTAACAGCAATCATTTTACTAGTAAATTGAGCCCCAATATCAACTTTGGGAAAAAGTTCTTCTAAGGCGTCTCCTCCACTAGACCCCGCAAATTCTGCCTATAAGAATAAATATATAAGTGAGGTATACATTTTATATAAATTTGATGTAATAGTGTTAATAACTACGTTAAAATCTTGCATACACTAGATTTAGATGGTTGTGGTGGCGCTTGGTCTGCGACTTTTTCGAATTCAGCGTCAATGGTAGCAAGCTGTGCTGCACTCAAATCTTGAACAAATGTGCGAATACCTAAAAGAGAGATGAGTATGTTAACTAATAGCATTTTGAAAAGAAAAGCAATGGTCAATTGTATTTTTTTTTTGCTTACCGGGGCCGACGAAAATTCGTAAAGCTCCCAGAACCGTGACTGCATTTGTACGAACAGCCGCATTCGAACTGCTTAGAGCAAATTTCAGGAAATCGATCAACTCTCGAACTTGGAGCCCGGTTATGCCAAACTCCATGACGGCACCCTGAACCCATATTAACGAGTCCGCTAATATTTTCGGTGATTTGGCTTTCCGTAGTGGGTCATAAGCTTCAAAAAATGAGATATTATCAATAAAGTTATTATTAATCATAAAGCAAACAAAATGAAGAAACAAAAATAAATACCTTGACTAAGCACGAACTGAAGCGAAGTTTTTTCGCAAAATTTAGTCAGGCAATCGCCGGCGCTTTTCTTGAGTTTGATATCGCCCAACTTTTCCATGAGGACTAAAGAATAATATATAATTGATATTCAAATTATTGTCGAGATAAATCTGAAATTGAAATAATCTATTAAAGGGAAATATCCACTTGGTATAGCAAGAGTTGCAGCGGGTTTTGAGAATGATGGGATTTTGTCTGCCAGCATTTCCATAAGATTGAAGACTTTGCTCATAACCTGTAAGAAGATTTCAGTTTTAGCAAACCAAGGATACAAAAAAGATAAACATCACTTTGCAATTAATTAATATACCTGAAAATTGCTTTCTTTCCAGCCAGGTTTTTTAGCCAGGAATCTTATCACCAGTTCATCTTGTATTTCTGAAGAATCCATCTGGTCCAAAGTATTATGTAAATTCTCGATTGCTAATAAAATTAGTAGTTGTATGTTATATTCCAACCGTTAATTAATGAGCATTAATTATATATTATAGCTACCTGCTAAACGTAGTTTCCAGTTTTTGTCTCCAAGGTCAGCAGTCTCACTTTCAGGGACTAATTCTGCAAATTTTTCCTCTACTTCTTCGTTAGTATATTTGTATTTTATTGGCTCTTCTGCCTTGGCGCCTTTTTTAGCTGGTGGAGGTGCTGCAGCTGCAGGTGTCTTTCCAGCTTTTTTCGGTGCTGATGTTGATGCCACAGCAGGCTTCTTAGCAGGTGCAGTCTTTTTGGGTGCAGCAGCCTAAGTAATAAAAGCCAATACTGGCCATTTTACTAATCATTCTTTGCAAGGTCAAATATAATTACTAAAATAATAAGGAATACTAACCGCGTCGGATTTAGCAGGTGGCTTTTTGGCGGCTTTAGATTTTTGAGGTTCTGGAGCAACTGGAGGTCGCTTCGCAGTAGAAACTTTGACTTTAACTTCAGCCTTTTCGTAAAATTCTTTAACTTTGGCCTTTTTAATATCATCCATTCCCTCTAGAAAAGGATTCATCCCTTTTTCGCTAATGACCTTCATCAAAGTGCCAAGACCTTCAAAGGCTGCCACACGCACAGGCTCAAAACTGTCCTCCGAAGATTTAACCATCATTTCAGCGAGAGATTTAATTTCTGTTTTGGTTGGCGCGATCTTTGTATTTTTCAGACAACGAACAAGCCATTTCATTGTTTCCGTTTTCACTTGCGGATTTTTATGTTTACCGCCTGCTATGAAATCTTCAGATACATCGGTAAATGTAACCTAGTATGTTTTTTCACATAATATTATTAGAAAAAAACTTGGCAGATAGCATTATTACGATAAATTATAAATAAACGAATTGCTTACTGTAAGAAAAACAGCATCCAACGCGGCAGCTAACGCATCCACAACTGATTGTTTCCTTTCTTTAATTTTTTCTATAATCGGAGTAACAACCTAAAAAAAATAGTAGAAAACGTTCAAATATTATATTATGCTTCAACGCATGTACAGCAGCAACTAGAACGATATTATATATTTACCGTCTGCTTATATTTCCCGAATGCTTCGCGTAAACCCGAGGCCAAAGCATCTATACAATTCGCAGCTAATGTAACGACGAGTATATTAGAATCCGTCATACGCTGGTTATATAAAGAAAGATTAGAAAAATGATGCATTCATAAAGTGTTAGTGGCCTAAATATATTCGAATTGAGCAGCAACCTTGGCAAGAGCAGCGACTAATTCTCCGTAATTGCCATCTGCTATTTTTGGAGTTTTGCATATTTCTAAAAGGCCTTCTAGAGCTTCTTTTCGATCTTTCCATTTAGATGATCCCTATTATTAATGATAATAATTAATTATTCTTAGATCAATACTTAAAAATAAAAAACTTATGAATTGGTGTTATCTTTACCAATTGATCATAGAAATCTTTAGCTAATTTCCCAAGAACATCGACTGCCTCAGCTAAATCATAGGCATCAACTTCCTTTTCTTCTTCCGCTTCAGCTTCAGCCCCTAATGTAAAAAAAAAATGATGAGATAGATAGGCATAATAACATCCTATTAATTTTTTGATAACAAAAAGGTTTGATATTATTTATACCTTCTCCAGCTTCAGCAGCCGCCTCAGCAGCCGCTTGTTGTGATCGCAATAATCGCGTTTGTGTAGGTTTCTCGGGCGGAAGTTTCTCGAAAGCTTCATTTAATTCTTTAACCTTTATTTTGAATACAACTGAATATATATAAATGAAATAAAATTTCATAAATTCGGCTCGGTTTTAAATTTACCTGGATTGGTTTCAGTTGCTGCAAATGTGCATTTATTGCTTGTCCTAACCATTTATACAATTCTATTACAAGATCCGTACCCTATAAAATAAATATAGTCAAAATGGAAGTTTAAATGCAACAAATATATTCCAAGAAACATAGAAACCAACCTCACTTCTGACATTTTTATCAGTATGATTAAATATTTTAGGTAATATTTTTAGAATTGGCTTCACATTTACTGTTTTGGCACCATAATGTCTAAAAGTTGTAATTTATTTGTTAGCTCAAACAAGCAGTTAAAATTGCAGAAAAAAATAATAAAACCTTATAATTTCTTTTAATATATATACTGTCGTCGTGACTAATTTTGGTTGTTTTGCGTTTAGACCTCCCAAAACATCTTCCTAAAGTTTAATAGGCATTTATGTAAAAAAACCTCCATAAAATTTCAACTATTTTACTATTGAAAGATCAGACATACCACAACAGGATCAGCCGTATCCACTTCAATATACAACAATATTAGGTTAACAGCATTCTTTTTTGTTCCAGCGCGAGAAGTACCAAACACTTTGTCCACAATGGCTGGTATAACAGAACCTCTTGACCTAAAGTCAAAAGTACAAAATTTATATGTAGTAAACATATTAAACGCGTGAAAAGTAAACTAAAAAGACGCGTAAAAACTAACAGAGTCTAATCAGAAATTTGACCGAAAACTAGATAAGACAAGTTTTACCTTATGGGATTAGGTGCATTTTCAACAAACGCTAATAGAGTTAAAAGTCCTGTTTCCTGTGCAACAGCGTTCGAATCTGTAACAATATTTTTTAGAAAACCATCGTACGGTCGAAACTCATCGTCATTAGATGGGTCTGCTGTTTTAAATTTTTTTGCAAGTTCCTCGTATGCCCCTATTCGAACCTTCCAAATCTGAAAACGGAGCGTAGTGTTAAAGGAAGCTGGAGCATTAAATAACAAAAATTTGAGGTTTAAAAAGAACCTTGTGAGTAATTCTTTCTGTAAGTGGCAATGACGAGAAATCTTCTTCTGCTGTGGCCATTTCAAAGCTCGGAAAGAGCAAGTTTGTTGAATACTTAATTTTTGTAACACAAGGATGCGTTTTTAATGTTTTCGACAAATTGACTAAATATATAAATAGTCACTGCATTAAGTGGCGGGTTTTTATCACGTGTTAATTCAAAATAAATTATTTCTCGCGAGGATTAAAAATCATTTTTCTGATATTGCTGAAAATGAATCGGTCGATGAGTATTGAAATCAGGTCAATTAATATTCTTTTTTCTTTAAGATATATATATATATATATATATATGCATTTCCCATAATAAAAAAAATCTCAAATTTCATTATTGCCATATGCTTTTATGTCTAATAATAGTATTCCTCCTCTGTTAGTAAAGACGTTGCAGCAGTTTCATCAGAAAGCAGTGTGCAAAAGAATCGTATATTAGCTGATGATGAAGAGTTTTATTGGAATAAATATGGGCAACCTTTGTTTAATAGTCATAGTACCTTCAAAACAACTTCCTCTTCCAAAACTTTGACTAAATCACTACTGGATGAGAACGGAAGTTCTGAGGATGTTCACACGTCATCATTTAATAATAACGGATTAGAAACAGTACGATTCGACAAGACAGACAATGGTAAAGGTGATGATCACAACGGCAATACTATAGGAACTATTCTATTGACATCATTTCCACCGCCAATTGACGAACCTGCACAGGTTGATGGAATACAACACCAAGAGACCCCCAAAAAAGAGACTGAAAAATTAATGATCTCAACAGCCTCTTCCATTACTACTGATGCGTCGTCGTCATCATCATCGGTGCAAAAAGAAGCACAAAATAATGAAATTCAAACACTTATTTCTGACGCTGTTAAATCAGTATATGGAATGGCAAAGTTAAATGGAATATCCAAAGAGAAATTCCTAGAGTTGGTGTGGGATGCAGTAATGAAGGAATGAGCGATATTAAATTATACTATTTATATAAATATTAATTTATCGATCCTCCATGCAGTGTCGAAATAAATACTATATATATCATCAGCATCTTTAATTTCATAGTTGAACTCTCCAATTTGCGTCATTATTTATTTATAAAGGTTACAAGATCGTCATATTACAAATTTACCAAATCCTTTATTGTCGTTGTAGTCGGATTAGGTTATTCTTAGAATCAACCAATCACTAAACTTGAAATCGTCGATCAAAAAATTAGCCGATCATTACCATGCTATATATAACTTTGAAAATAATATCGATATCGATATCGATATAGGATGAAACCATAAATATTTATTAGTTATTAAATATATATCTATTGATTAAGCAAGAGGATTGACTCTATTAAATACATAACGATAAGATTTTTTTATAAAAAATAAAATATTCTAGTAGATATTATTTTTATCCGTAATAGAAACGAGCAATTCCTTCCTTTTGCTTTTCGCATACGCAACATTTTTTGGCTGCCTGGGCACATTTCTCACACATAACAAAATGATAACAGGGTAGAATGGCATGAGTGATGGTCTCCACCGAACAGACCCGACATTTTGTATTTGTGCTCCTATTTTCCTCCTGAGCTTCATCGAATTGTATCTGCAATTTTTCTAAGGTCAATTTGAGATCTTGAGCATTCGTACCAAGGTTAATGTTTCTTCGTTGTGACGATTGTCGTAGATGATGCTCAGATTTTCTCTCATTGATTAAAGAGTCGCGTTGATCTTTGAGTTGTTGATTATCTTTTTCTGTTTGTTGTTTCCGAATAAAAAGCTCGTCGAACTTTGATTCAAGGTTTTTGTGTTGTGTTTCTAATCGATTGATTGTTAAAAGAAGTTTTTGTTTTTCTTCCAACAGCTGATCGATTTTTTCAACTGTGATTAGTGGAGGATCTTTTGAAATGGAAGCGGGCATCGTCTGTGAGAATTTGTCATATGTCAAGCATAAATTTTGTGGTTGCTGTTCTAATGTGGAATCTTGATGTGGTCTGAATACTGATTTGCCAGATTTCTCTGCTCCGTATCCATTCCATAGAGATTTATCTGTTTCATATCCATTCCTTTGAGGTTTTTCTTGTGAATACTGATTAGATCTGCTTCCTTGTAGCACATCAGATTTCTCTCTGATTGGAGGAAAGTATGGATGTCTACTTGATCCGTCCATTTGATTTTCTTGTCTATATGAATTCCTCTTTTGGTTTAATGATGTATCCTTGTTATAATACACATTACCATCACCTGGTTGATTGATATTTGATTGCAATGAATAACGTCCCATTTGGGTGTATCGTGCATCTTTAAGCTTCCATGGTGTATCTTTGTTATAATACACATTATCATCATCTGGTCGATTATTATT